TTTGGCTCAATGATTATTACTAAAGTCCATGTTTTCTAGTGCCTTTTCTCTTGGAATAGTATTCAAAAAAAAAAAAAAAAAAAAACCAAATCAAATTCCACTTGTTTGATGTTTTTATTTTTCCCATTTCCCATGTTCTTTAACAAATTCTACTTCTGATCAATATTCAATGCCAATTTTTCTGTCAATGGTTCCTCTGAGCTGTCTTTTCAATTTTTTTTGCCTCGATTTGAAGCTTTTTGATTAAAAATTTTAGTGATATGAATATTTAACATGTAGCAACCATGACATTTTTAAAATTTTATTTTACCAATATGATTAAGATATATAACCAATGGTCCATCTAAAAAGTGTTTTTGTTTCTGGTTTTTAAAAAAGTTCGACAGTGAGTACTGAATAATGTTCAGTGAGTAAGTAGCTATGTTACTTGGGCAAAAAGCCAAATACATTTCTAATCGATACTTGCCCTGTGCAAGTCCCCTGGCCAAGACAATCATTAAGGATTTCTCTTTAAAAGACTCTGTAAAGCAAGACATGTAGCAGCTCTAGTCAGCAAAGAAAATATTTCATTTTATCATAAATTCCCTTGTAGCATACTAAGAGTCTAAGGAGATTTCATGTGTACTCTTTTATTTACTATTTAAAACAAACCTGTGAAACAAAAAGAACAGGTACCATTATCTCCACTTTAAAGATGTGGCTTTGTCTGAAAAAAAAAAATCCCTAGGCTGAAGAATAGAATTGAGAAATACTACACCTCTACCACTCACAAATTACATGGCCTTGAGCAAGGCACATAACGGGTAACTAGAATCCTCCTTAACTTAATATAAACAACAGGATACAGCTTAGATGTTACCTCACAGAAGTCTTCCTCCCATCCTAAGGCCTAGGAGACTGAGTTAGAGACCTGTGCTGGGGGTTCTTTCGGTACCCTGCTTATCTCTTTATACTCTATTTTTATGCCTTAAAAAAAAAACTGTGGTAAAAACAAACAAAATTTACCATTTTAGCCATGTCTAAAACAGTATACTTAACAGTAGTATTAAGAACCAATTAATGTCTTTTTGTCTATTCCCCTACTAGATTATAAAGGGCAAGAATTGTGTTTTGTCACTATATTTTTAGTGCTTAGCATGGCATGTTACATAAAATATTCTTAATAAGTACTTGGTGAATGTATCCTTGCTTTGCCTGCCTGTCTGTCCACCTATCTACGTGGTCATGCATCTAACTCAGAACTAGAATGAAGGAATGAGGTGCTTACACATGGATATATATATATTTTTTTTTCAATTTTTTCATCTGTTTTAAGCTTTTTGGTTAAAAATTTTAGTGATATGAATATTTAACATGTAGCAATTATACAGTTTTTTTTTAATTTTAGCAATATGATTAAGATATATAACCAATGGTCCATCGAAAAAATATTTTTGTTTCTGGTTTTTAAAAAACTTTTACTGTGGGCAAAAAACTGTGTCCAATTTATATATATATAAATACACACACACACACATAAAAATAAACATGTAAACCTGAAGTCAAAATTTTTTCCACTTGTCTGACTGATTTCCCAATTAGGGTATGAAGAGGATCAGAGTATGCCATCCCCAAATATGCCACTTTGGCATAAGGATTATTATTTTGAGCTGAAGGCAACTGAGAAACCCTCAGATGAAGGGAAATATATCTGCCCTCCCTCTTTTTGTCTAAAAGCAGGGCATACATTCCTTTTGTAAATGTAATATAAATTTCCATTTCTAAAGCTGATGCTCTCACTCCCATACTAGGAAGAGGACGGCAACACTTCTTCACCAGAGATGACACTTATCAATAGAGAAGACACCAGCTTTGGTACACATAACAAACCTTACTAAATAATCCTTTTCTTTCATTAGAATCCCCATATATTTACCTTTTCACAATTTACCACCAAGAAGCCCAACCCCCTACCTTTGTCTAAACTTACTTTTTCACAATTTATCACTCTTTATAAAAATGGTATAAAAGCCCCCTCCACCCCCTGGTCTAAACATTTCTTTTGGGTCTTCTTTTCTATGAAGACCTCTGTGTACATAACAAACCTTTTCTTTTACTCATCTGTCTGCTGTCAATTTCATTTGCAGGCCCCAATTACTTAAGAGGGTAGAGGAGTAAGTTTTTCCTCCCCTATAGGTATATTGCAGATATTTTCCATAGCTCAGATGAGTATAATCTGAAGTTCCAGATTTTTTGCAAAAGGACATTTAAAGAATATGATAAAAGTATTTCGTCATAAAATATTGCACTGGAAAATGTGTACTGAAATTAACAATATTTTTATTTTCCTAACAATTATTTGCATATGCTGGGTTAGACAAAGAGCTTCTAAAAGTAACAATAACATGATGGTCCACTGTCTAGGTTAGAAAGTTAATGACTCCAATGGCTGGTTATCAGATCCTTTTTCATTCAGTTTATGTTCAATTATTTGCTTTATTTATTTTCAACACTTTGCTTTCAACCAAGAAAATCTAATTGCTAAAAATATTTATTGGTGATAGATCACTATACAATTTTTTGAACAAATAACTCAGAATTGGGTAAATAACCCACAAATAACTCACTGAACTCATAAAACTGAGTGTTACTGCAACAACAAAACTCCTTCTATTCTCATCTACATAGCCACAAGATTTCTGAGTTTACTTATATAAAAACTGAAAAAGGAAACAGTAATAACATAAATTTATCTCGTTAAGAAATGTTTACCTGCAACAATTACTTATAAAAATTAAATTTGTAATACATTTGTAATGTTGCTTTGATCAACTGTGGGTAATTATCAGGGTAATGGTGATTACAACCCAGAACAGAAAACAAATTAATCTCTTAGTGACAGAAAGAATTTAATTTCAATTTACATGTTTATGTAGCAGACAAGTCATTAAAACAAAAATATATTATATTAAAATATACATTATAGTTCAAGAGCAAAGAGATGGAAATTTTCTGACTATTACACAATAGAAACATTTAGCAGTTTTATTTTAAAATGTGAACATTTAAAATACACTAAAACTATATCTTTTGTAATTACTTAAACTTAAGATGAAAAATTTTGGTTGTAAACTTAAAAATGTCCAAAAGGTAATATGGTTTATAAAATTCTTTGAAGAAGTACGTGAGTAAGGAATGTCTTAAGCCCACAATGCTATTTAAACTATTACTTTTTTAGTTTAGACATTTTAGATGTGGACTGTTCACAGATTTGATGAATTTGGATTTTCAGCTTTTTACTGAATGCTATCAGTATACAGTTGACCCCTGAATAATATGGGTTTGAACTTCACAGATTCACTTAACATACGAATTTTCTTCTGCCTCTGCTACCCATGAGATAGCAAGACCAACCCCTCCTCTTCCTCCTCAGCCTACTCAACGTGAAGATGACAAGGATGAAGACCTTCATGATGATCCATTTCCACTTAATGAATAGGAAAGATATTTTCTCTTCCCTATGATGTTCTTAATACGATTTTATTTTATCTAGCTTACTTGATTATAAGAGAACAGTATATAATACATACGACATACCAAATAAGTGTTAATAGACCATTTATTTTATCAGTATGGCTTCTGGTCAATGGTAACTATTAGTAGTGTTTTTGGGAGTTAAAAGTTATCTGTGGATTTTCAACTGTGTGCGAGGCTGGTTCCCCTAATCTCCAAGTTGTTCAAGGATCAACTGCAGTTAAAGGTATATTATGTTCTAAAATATTCAACTAGAAAAACAGTACTCATTTTTACCTGGGATGGAAGAAAAGTAAAGGGTTCTTTGTAACTTAGTAAATGGAGTCATAAATACTATATTAAATCAGCTGCCCAATTTATAAATTCTCTAGTAACAACCTCCTGAATTATGATACATGCCTAGACTTAACAGCATTCCACAGTATGAGTTAAAATTATGGGAGCTTTGGGGATGTGTTTCCTTCACTGACATACTTAGTTAAATTATATCATTTAACGAGAATGCCTACATCGTGGTAAAATTATTGGCTACATTTATCAATCCTACTCCAACCACAGAATCTACTGGAAAAAGTGGAATTATATTATAAATATCATCTGCTGCATCAAATCTCAAGGTTTATTGAAGCAATGTTCTGATCTTTTATGACCGTTAGACACACTTTAGATTAGCAGCAATTTTGTAGCACTGGCCAAAGCTCCTAAAATACAGTCTCTCAATTAAGAAAAAAAAAATCACTGAAAAAAAACTTTGCAAAGTATTTAAAAATAACGAATAATTTCAAATAGTAACATCTCTTTACAACCTACAGATGAGAAAGTGCAGCATCTAAGGTGTGGGCTGATACTGACTTAAAAAGACAAAGATGGAACGCATTTTACAAAAAGGAAGTGAGATTGCTGACTGACAGTTCTTGGAAAAAGGTTAAAAATTCAAAAGGAGTGACTGCATGTGGCTCAGAACTTAAAAGCCTTTTCTCTTCCCAACAGAAGCGCAGTCTCAAGTAATAATAGGTTGCCATGGAGATGAGAAACTAGAGGAATCAGAGAACTCAATTTGCAGTTAAATGGGCTGGAAACAATTCTTACTACTTGGTGAAGGAAAGCGATTAAAAACATACTTGATTGCCACAGGGAATTTTTTTTCACCAAGCCATTTCCCAACCTCATTAATGAACAAGGAAGTCTAAAAACAAATGGAAACCCAAGATATCCATAGATTGAACCCATTAAACATAATTCAGAATTTTAAACATTATCACAAATTCTTATTCTGGGTGACTGTGCTTCTTTTCAGTGGTACTTTTATCAGTAGATACTGGAATGAGACTAAAAGCATTCAAGAACAAACTGGTATAACTGAAGGAACTGAAATTTCAGTGAAAAAAAAGAGCATGACAAATGGAAAAGTAGCCAGAGTAAGAAATAGATTCAGGTAGTAAAAATCCAGGTTTAAAAAAATCTCTTCATAGTCAATCACAGAATACCTTTGTGAGTGCTGTAAAGGGCTGCAAACGTCACCATGAAGAAAGTTGTGGAGTATTTGCCAGCATTAACTAAATGAGGAAAGGCCCTTTTTGTGTCTCGATATCGGCGCAGGCACTGGATGAAGCGAAGCCAAGCAGGAATGCACTGAACAATGGCCCGCACACCATATGTATATTTGTGGCAAATTCCTGATTCTGTGAAGATTTCAAAGAAGAAAAATTACAATTGTAAAAAATAACTTGTTCACATCATTTAGTCATATAGCGTAGCCACTACCAAGTCTGAAAAAGCAAGAAACCTGGGCTTCAGAATCACTTTCTTCTTTGCAACTATCATATTCTCAAGCTTTTTATTTTTTTTGAGACTGAGTCTCTCTGTGGTCCAGGCTGGAGTACAGTGGCACAATCTCAGCTCACTGCAACCTCTGCCTCCCGGTTCGTGATTCTCTTGCCTCAGCCTTCTGAGTAGCTGGGATTACAGGTGCACACCACCACATCCAGCTAATTTTGTATTTTTAGTAGACATGGGGTTTTGCCATGTTGCCAAAGCTGGTCTCAAACTTCTGACCTCAAGTGATCTGCCCACCTCAGACTTCCACAGTGCTAGGATTACAGGTGTTAGCCACCGTGCCCAGTCTATTCTCAAGCTTTTTAGTGATAGATAAGTCAAGGAGAGAAGGTAAAATATGTTGTGGGGGAACTAGTAGGGAAATCTGCTCTCGCAGATTTATGGATATCTGTCCAGGAATCACTTTCTTTGGAGTGTGATAAAACTGTAAGAAAATTAGAAGATGAGTATACAGTAGGAGGAAAGAACAGGTTTGCTCTGTAATTTGAAACATCTGGAAAGCCTACAAGTATCACCAGTGATTCTATACAATTTTGTGAATTCCAAACCACCACAACACAAGACACCCAAGAGCACATGCTCTTGTTCACCCACCTCCCCTCTTTTTTTAAACCAAGAACAAACTGTGTGTTTAAATAAGAATAGAGTTGGTAAATCAATTTTTCCTTGAATTCTGAAATTCAGAATTGAGTGTGATCAACTTACAACAGAATTGTGATCCACTGGCAATCAATAAAAATGTGTCAGCATCGGCTTCATCATTAACTTTCGTTAGTCACATGTTACATAATCTATCTAAATTAGATCTTTGTCATGAAGGCAAAATTCCTTAATAACTTGAACTGCTGGAATAAACTAAGGTGGCGGGGGGGCGGGAAGAGCCAGAAGAAAAATAACACCCCAAGTAAGAATTAAAAAGCAATCTGTAATTACTCTCAAAGCACTTGATCTATTTCTAAATAATCAGTATTTTTGATCACTGGTATCTGGGTTACATTACACAGCAACAGTGTGACAACAAATTGTTGGCATGGAAGTATTTGCAATATAACTACCAATGTGCTAGAAAAAGTTTTAGAATTCTTTAAGTGTAAGTTGTAAATCTCTTGGCAAATGGACAGACGAAATCCTAATGCATAATTTAAAAGCCAAATTATATCAGATAAAGAGACTGCTAACAGAATGCCAAGTACATTTAATTAAGTTTGTAATATTATTGGGTAAGTTTTCATCATGACCTTAACTTTCTCATTTATCCTTCCCAATATTTCTTGGTTTACACCAGAGATTTAGTAGTACAGAGGCAAATTCATATCCTACCTTCTGAATTATTTGGCAACAGGCCCTCACTTTCATCCCATTTGAGCTCCAAACTGTAGAAGCAGATCATATATTCCAGGTCCATCAGTATCACTGACAGGCTGTTCAGCTGATCGGCCAGCCAGAAATCAGCAAAGCCTACTTTATGGAAGGGGGCTGTAAATACTCGAAACTGAGAGAAAGAAAAAAAAATCAGAAAACATAGAAACAAGAAAAGTCATATGAAATGTCTCCATTTCATGTCTGACCATTCAGCATGATTACTTTAGTTGATAAAATGGAAACCAAAGAACCAATCATAAACACAGAGACCTGGCAACAGTGGTTATAGTGGTTGAGAATTAGCAGTGAAGGGAATCAGTTGAATGGATAACTAAGAAAGGAAGTAAAGGAGGAAAAAAAGCAGGAATAACTATAGTTAGAAAACAGAAAGCATGGGTGCTGCTAATTCTTTGCAAAAATCCAAATATTGTTAAGGGATCAGGGAGATGCCATTACCCCCTAATTTTTCATCTAAAAATCTATATAAACAAATCTTTCCATATTCCTAGTGACTTTTCAAGTATTTGGGCCTAAAGATTTTGATCTCACATTTTTATACCCGTTTAAATTGTTCACAATTTTTACATACATGTCAGCCATCAACTAAAGTTGTACTTTAAAAATTTATTGGCCGGGCACGGTGGCTCACGCCTGTAATCCCAGCACTGTGGAAGCCAAGATGGGCGGATCACGAGGTCAGGAGATCGAGACCATCCTAGCTAACATGGTGAAACCCTATTTCTACTAAAAAATACAAAAAAGTTAGCCAGGCATGGTGGCGGGCACCTGTAGTCCCAGCTACTTGGGAGGCTGAGGCAGGAGAATGGCGTGAACCTGGGAGGCAGAGCTTGCAGTGAGCCGAGATCATGCCACTGCACTCCAGCCTGGGTAACAGAGCAAGACTTCATCTCAAAAAAAAAAAAAAAAAAAATTATTACAGGGCTGGGTGTGGTGGCTCACTTCTGTAATCTCAGCACTTTGGGAGGCTAAGGTGGGTGGATCACGAGGTCAAGAGTTTGAGACCAGCCTGGCCAACATAGTGAAACCCCATCTCTATTAAAATACAAAAAATTAGCTGGGCATGGTGGTGGCCACCTGTAGTCCCAGGTACTCAGGAGACTGAGGCAAGAGAATTGCTTGAACCCAGGAGGCAGAAGTTGCAGCAAGCTGAGATCAGCCACTGCACTCCAGCCTGGCGACAGAATGAGGCTCTGTCTCAAAAAAACAAAACAAAACAAAACAAAAACAAATAAAAAATTATTACAATATGTACATTTCTAAGTCAAACACTTGTGACTTTTGCTTTAATTCCATGAATGTTCCTATCTCCTTGATATTTGTATTCATTCCTTTTTTCCTCTAGAGTGGAGGTATAATTGCGTGGTATTTCAGAACTGAAATACAGATAAGTGATTCAAAAAGTCACAGTTAAGGAGAATAATGTTTCTTTGATCATAAAGAACTGATTAGTAATTCTTGTCTATATTTTCCTGATAGCATATGACAAATGTTTCTAATTCATCTAAACAAGATGAGAACAGATTAAAGACCGCGTACTGTTTTGGACTTGGAGAGAAATATTTTAATTTTTTAAATGCAGTTATAAATTATAATGCATTCATATTTGTACTTTCTGTTAAAATGCACAACTGAAGAATTGTTTAGCTTTTGTGTTTATTCTTGATAAAAGCTTTGTTCTTAAGTTTGCACTCAAATCTTAAGAAATAAATTCACCCCTTTACAATTATGTAATGCCCTTGTCTCTCTTGATCTTTGTTGGTTTAAAGTCTGTTTTATCAGAGATTAGGATTGCAACCCCTGTTTTTTTGTTTTTTGTTTTTTTTCTTGCTTTACATTTGCTTGGTAAATCTTCCTCCGGCCCTTTATTTTGAGCCTATGTGTGTCTTTGCATGTGAGATGGGTCTCTTGAATACAGCACACTGATGGGTCTTGACTCTATCCAATTTGTCAGTCTGTGTCTTCTAATTGGGGCATTTAGCCCATTTACATTTAAGGTTAATATTGTTATATGTGAATTTGATCCTGTCATTATGAGGCTAGCTAGTTATTTTGGCCATTAGTTGATGCAGTTTCTTCATAATGTCAATGGTCTTTACATTTTGGTATGTTTTTGCAGTGGCTGGTACTGGTTGTTCCTTTCCATGTTTAGTGCTTCCAGTAACAGACAAACAGAGCCAAATCATGAGTGAACTCCCATTCACAATTGCTACAAAGAGAATAAAATACCTAGGAATGCAACTTACAAGGGATGTGAAGGACCTCTTCAAGGAGAACTACAAACCACTGCTCAAGGAAATAAGAGAGGACACAAACAAGTGGAAAAACACTCATGCTCATGGATAGGAAGAATCCATATCGTGAAAATGGCCATACTGCCCAAAGTAATTTATAGATTCAATGCTATCCCCATCAAACTACCATTGACTTTCTTTACAGAATCGGAAAAAACTACTTCAAACTTCATATGGAACCAAAAAAGAGCCGGCATAGCCAAGACAATCCTAAGCAAAATGAACAAAGCTAGAAGCATCACACTACCTGACTTCAAACTATACTACAAGACTACAGTAACCAAAACAGCATGGTACTGGTACCAAAACAGATATATAGACCAATGGAACAGAACAGAGGCATCAGAAATAACACCACACCATCTACAACCATCTGATCTTTGACAAACCTGACAAAAACAGGCAATGGGGAAAGGATTCCCTATTTAATAAATGGTGTTGGAAAAACTGGGTAGCCATATGCAGAAAGGTGAAACTGGATCTCTTCCTTACACCTTATACAAAAATTAACTCAAGATGGATTAAAGATTTAAACATAAGACCTAAAACCATAAAAACCCTAGAAGAAAATCTAGGCAATACCATTCAAGACATAGGCATGGGCAGAGACTTCATGACTAAAACAGCAAAAGCAATGGCAACAAAAATCAAAATTGACAAATGGGATCTAATTAAACCAAAGAGCTTCTGCACAGCAAAAGAAGCTATCATCAGAGTGAACAGGCAACCTACAGAATGGGAGAAAATTTTTGCCATCTATCCATCTGATGAACGGCTAATATCCAGAATCTACAAAGAACCTAAACAAATTTACAAGAAAAAAAACAACCCCATCAAAAAGTGGGCAAAAGATATGAACAGACACTTCTCAAATGAAGACATTTATGCAGCCAACAAACGTTTGAAAGAATGCTCATCATCACTGGTCATTAGTGAAATGCAAATCAAAACCACAATGAGATACCATCTCATGCCAGTTAGAATGGCAATCATTAAAAAGTCAGGAAACAACAGATGCTGGAGAGGATGTGGAGAAACAGGAATGCTTTTGCACTGTTGGTGGGAATGTAAATTAGTTCAACCATTGTGGAAGACAGCGTGGCAATTCCTCAAGGATCTAGAACTAGAAACACCATTTGACCCAGCAATTCCATTACTGGGTATATACCCAAAGGATTATAAATCATGCTACTATAAAGACACATGCACATGTATGTTTACTGTGGCACTGTTCACAATAGCAAAGATTTGGAACCAACCCAAATGCCCATCAATGATAGACTGGATAAAGGAAATATGGCACATATACACCATGGAATACCATGCAGCCACGAAAAAAGATGCGTTCATGTCCTTTGCAGGGACATGGATGAAGCTAGAAAGCATCATTCTCAGCAAACTAACACATGCACAGAAAACCAAACACCGAATGTTCTCATTTGTAAGTGGGAGCTGAGCAATGAGGACACATGGACACAGGGAGAGGAACATCGGACACAGGGAGGGGAACATTACACACTTGTCGTTGGGTGGGGGGCCAGGGAAGTGGGGAGGGATAACATTAGGAGAAATACCTAATGTAGATGATGGGGTGAAGGGTGCAGCCAACCACCATGGCACATGTACTCCTATGTAACAAACCTGCACGTTCTGCACATGTACCCCAGAACTCAAAGTATTAAAAAAAAAAAAAATTCACTCATGTTATCTAAAAAAAAAAAGAAAAAAAAAAAGAAAATAGAAAGCAAAAAGGTGGAGAGTTGAATTTGAAAGCAGAGAGCAGCAAAAGATAGAAGCACTGAGATGCTCTAAAGTTAGGAAGTTTTGCTGGAGAGGCAAGTGCTACAATTTCTAGACTGTTCTCCATCTTACCTAACTGAATACAAAGCTCTTCTTTGCTTACAAAGGATTAAATAGGAAAGGATGGTACTCCATCTGAGGCATGCTTCATTCTCCAACCAAAGTCACTTTCTTTTCACTAATGACATGGTAATGACTGTGTTCATCTTGAAATTACACCACAGAAATCAGCCCTCTTCCCACTGTTCTGAACACATGATAAATGTATTAAATGTACTGGGCAGTAACTCATGCAGTATATTCTCTTCAAGGCTTATGCAGGCATTAACTCAATCTTCACAACAATTCCATGAGCTAGGAACTATTCATATCCCCATTTTACAGAAGACCGACACAGACTCTTCCTAACCTATTCTGTGGAAGCCTGTTTATCACTACAAAGGGAAATCTTGGCATTGCAGAGAAGGGAAGTAGGTACCAATGCAATTACCAGAAATAGGCTCAAATTGTGCAGACTGTCTTAATAAGCGATGTGTGAAGTGAAGATGGGATGAAGCAAGCCTTAATCCTCATCCTAAAGGACCCCTTTTTATCTTATACAGGAGGAAATGTGACTCCTGAAAAAAGAAATTCTGAGTAAGTAGAAGTTTTGAGAAAATGAATCTAATCTCTAACTCTCTGGAGATCTAGTTATATGCATTTCACAGACATATTCAACTTGAGAGTCTATATCTTCTCAGACTTATCTGGATCTTTCCACTCTTTCTCTAAATAGGTATCTTTATTATTTCAGGGAGATGGTCATATTATGACTCAATCCTGGGTGTCAACCGCCTATGACAGATACTTTCGTGGAGCTTTGGAAGCTAGACCACGTGTCTGTGGGACATCATACAGGCTTTGAGACATTATTTTCTAGTGCTGATATATTTTCATTCCATGGCTCAGTCTCTTAATCATTTTCATACTCTTTCTATGAGTTCAACAAACCAGAGAGACAATCTATACATTTGCAGCCATAAGCTCCCAATAAAGCAAACTTTTTGTGGGGAAGTGGGGGAGTGTAGGATGGTAGTCATCTATGCACGAAGAAATTCTGGCATCAGTTTTTGTAATATTTTAAGAAATTCCAGGGTGCAGAATAGACTTTAAAGGATTCAAAGTGACGGAAATATAGAATTTAGGATATAACACCAAAGGATCAGAAGTCTAAATCCATCTCTAATCATGAGCTATTATGAAACTGGTAGCCTAGGACAATTTCTTTATAACTGACATGAGACAGACTATCATTACTCTCACACTCTGCCAACCCTATCCTCAAAACGTGGCTAATTCAGAAAATCTCCATAAGAGCAGAAGAGAAAGATAATGCATTAAATAAGGAACAAAGGGATGGTGGGATGGGACTGGAAAAGGATAGGAGTGATGTGAAAATTAAAAAAAAATAATAATAATAACTGGGAAGAAGGGAAAATTTACAAAAAGAGAAAACGAAAAAAAAGAAGAAAGAAGGGAGTAGTAAATGTTAGTATAATATAACCAATGAAGGAAAGAACACAATTACAGCCATTCATGTATTTAACAAAGACTTATCAAGTATTTATTATATATCAGGCACTGAGGCTTAAAGGCCTTAATGATCCACAGTCTAGTTGGGTAAATAAATACATAAAGGTATAATTATAGCACCATATTACAGAGATACACACAAAATACCCTGGAAATACAGAGAAAAGAAGTAGTCACTCTGTCAGAGGCAGGGTGAGAGGAAGAACATAAACAGATCATATTTACTCACTGACATTTACACACAGTCAAATTCATTCAAGATTTATCTGATTTCGCCTTCTGAGAGAGAATTCTGTAACTCGCCCCTCCTTCTCTTCTTAATGTGGATAAGACCTTCTAACTTTTCCACTTCTACCCTGTAATTCTGATTAAAGTGACAATTCCTAGAGTAACAGTATTATGGAAGCCAGAGGCAATTCTGGATAGCTGATATTTTACCACATACACAAAAAAGCCACTATTAAGTTATTACAAAGAACATGTTAACATCATCTTTTAAGTTAATACTGATAAATAGCCAAGAAGATGAAGTTTTAATTTCTACTTTTCATGGAGTGCAGTGGTGCAATTTCAGCTCATTGCAACCTCAACCTGCTGGACTCAAGCAATCCTCCTCCCTCAGCCTCCCAAGTAACCAGGGCTACAGGTGCGTGCTACCATGCACCATTGATTTTTCATTTTTTGTAGAGAAAGGGTTTTGCCATGTTGCCCAGGTTGGTCTCAAACTCCTGGGCTTAAGCAATCCTCCCACCTCCACCTCCCAAAGTGCTAGGATTACAAGCATGAGCTACCGTGCCCGGCCTCAAATTTGATTTTTATATTCTACTAGTTTGATCTACTAGATCAAAGTTAAACATCTTACATAAATGACTAATAGGGCTAAGTGTTAAATGTTAGTGTTTAAGAGTACAGATTATAAAGCCCGACTGCCTGGATTCATAACTCATCTTCATCACTTACCGGCTATGTGACCTTAGGCAAGTTAATTAACTTCTCTGAATGTAGGTTTCTTCATTTATAAAATGGGGATTAATAGCAGTTCCAACTTGTGGGTTATTTTAAAAATCAAAATACATAAAGTAGTTACTAAATGAGAACACCTCTCTATTCTTATAATAGAAATGTGTAAAATTTTTACTATACAACTAAAGAAACTGTTGGTAAAAATTGATGTCTAAATTATATAATAAAGGACTATAATTTAAAATTTTTAATGAGCTTACTTTTAATATAGTGAGTTATACTTTGATATTTTTGTTTAGAAAATCTGAGGCACTGTTTATGCTACCCAATTAGATTTCTGACTGAGGTAAATACAGATTTAAGGAAAGAAAGTATAACCTAATGGATGTAAATAATCTGTACTAATTTGACATACAATACCACATCAAAATCAATTTCTTAAAATTTTTTTAGCTTTGTTTTTGGGAGCAGAGCATATATCAATTCCATAGATTCCAATATAAATATGGATATAAATGGCACCCAGCGCCTACCACTATGGCTAAACGACATGTGCTTTTCTCACTGAAAATTAAAGAAAAGCCTGAGCATGGTGGCTCACACTTACAATCCCAGCACTTTGGGAGGCAAGGCAGGCAAGCGACTTGAGCCCAGGAATTCGAGACCAGCCTGGGCACCATGGCAAAACCCCGTCTCTACTAAAAATACAAAAAATTGGCCAGGCACATTGGCACACACCTGTGGTCCTAACTACTGGAGAGGTTGAAGTGGGAGGATCATTTGAATCTGGGAGGTGGAGGTTGCAATGAGCCGAGAACACGCCACTGCACTCCAGTCTAGGCAATAGAGCCAGATCCTGTCTCCAGAAAAAAAAAAAAAAGAAAAGAAAAAAAAGAAAAGACAAGAAAAAAAGAAAGAAAAAAAATGTACTTTTACTTTAGGATGAAGTGGTATCAGAAAAACATAACTAGAGTGGACACATTCTTGTTAATTCACTAAGAATCAGTCTAAGGGTAAGTTTTCCCAGTGAGATTTAAATTAAAATAAGTCAGCAAGTCAATTAATACTAAAATTATCTATAAATGGTAACATTGTTCTATTTATAAGTTACTACTAAAACAACAAACCACAATGCTTCCTTTTATATTTCACTGTACCTGATAGTACATTTTATTATTCTATTACTGCTTATACCATTGTCAACCTATTCCATCAAAAAGTCCTCATTTATTAACAAAAACATAGAGGATGCACAGATAAATGTCTACTCAATGGGCAATCATTCTGCTAACAAGAGTAACTGGTCACGCATGAATCACAGCTTGCTATTTAAACAAAGAAGGATATACTGGGGAAATGCTCACTTAGCACACAATGTAGACAACTATATTATCCTGTTACTGTAATTATGCAATCATAGTAAAACTTGAGTTTTCTGAATCTTCCAAAGTCTCATTTAAAAATAATTTATGGCCAGGCACAGTGGCTCATGCTTGTAATCCCAGCACTTTGGGAGGCCAAGGCGGGAGGAACACTTGAAGCCACGAGGTCTGAGACAAGCCTGGGCAACAAAGGAGACCCTATCTTTTTTTTTCTTCTTCTTCTTTTTTGAGAAGGAGTCTCGCTCTGTCACCTAGGCTGCAGTGCAGCAGCACCATCCTGGCTCACTGCAACTTCCGCTTCCTGGGTTCAAGCGATTCTCCTGCCTCAGCCTCCCAAGTAGCTGGGATTACAGGCACCTGCCACCTCACCCGGCTAATTTTTGTATTTTTAGTAGAGACGGGATTTCGCCATGTTAGCCAAGTTGGTCTTAAACTCCTGACTTCAGGTGATCCACCCACCTTGGCCTCCCAAAGTGCTGGGATTACAGGCGAGAGCCACTGCACCTGGTTCTACAGTTTTTCTTAATAAAGAGCCATATTTTATGTCTTCAGATTAAAAAGAAAAATTGTTATGTTTGGCTAAGAACAAAAAAAAAACCTCTGCTAACCTAAGGGGCATACAAAAGAAAAACAATAGGAACTACAGTTTTCAAGGAGGTATACTTATAAAGTAAGAAAGAGGGGAGAAAATACAGTAATTCTTAAAGTTTTTATAGATTGGTCAATTTAATCACTAATCTTTATTGTTAGCTGTAATTCATAATCTAAGAAATAATTACATGAAAGTTTCCTCAATTGATGTACTTTCTTCATTTCTTTCCTTTTTTCTTCTTTAGAGACAGGGTCTCAGTCTGTTGCCCTGGCTGGGAGCGCACTAACGTGGTTCACTGCAGCCTTGACGTTCCTGGCTCAAGCAATCCTCTCACCTGAGCGCCGCGAGTAGCTGGGACTACAGGTGTGCACCATCACACCCAGCTAATTTTTAAATTTTTGTAGACAGGGTTTACACCATGTTGCCCAGGCTGGTCTGAAACTCCTGGACTCAAGGGATCCACCCACCTCAGCCTCCCGAGTATTGGGATTACAGGCGTGAGCGACCGCGCCTGGCCTCAAATGATTTTCAAAAAGAGCTGGCTCAATTTACAAGTAAACAGAAATCCCCTTCCAGAGTTATCTTTACAGGAGAAAGTTTTACAGTTTTGCAGGAAATTTTATATCACTGCTGAAGCTAAATGATTTTGAGATCATTAAGAAACAGGTAAAGTGGAAGAAAAAAAAGAACTTATTATAAACAAGAATCAAAGTCAATTTTTCTTTTTCTTATCTTTGAGATGGAGTTTTGCTCTTGTTGCCCAGGTTGGAGTACAATGGCACAATCGTGGCTCACTGTAACTTCCACCTCTGGGGTTCTAGCGATTCCCCTGCCTCAGCGTCCCAAGTAGCTAGGATTATAGGCACGTGCACCACCACCAGCTAATTTGATATTTTCAGTAGAGACGGGGTTTCACCATGTTGGTCAGGCTGGTCTCAAACTCCTGACCTCAGATGATCCACCAGCCTTGGCTTCCCAAAGTGCTGGGATTACAGGCATGAGCCACCACGCCCGGCCCAAAGTCAATTTTTCAAATTAAACTTGGTAATCTGGTAAGATATTCCTACTGCTTTTAGAGAACAAATCTTTCCTAAAATAAAATGTTCGGTTGATAATCATGTCAACTTAATAGGAAAATAATTCTTTTACCAAATTTTTTTGGGGGAAGGAAACTTACAGAGTTCTACATCTTATCTCAGCTAGTTAAACGAGTAAAAAATGTTTATAATTTACAAAATCATCTCAATATTTGGCCACTTGATACTCGATCTTAGGAGGAAAATATACATGAGTGCTTTTTTCCAGGGCCTCCAAGTTGCACAACTTCAAGGCTATTAGTTACACTATATTCTTTGCCCTGGAGCTGGGTCACCATTCACATAAACTATAATATGAACCATGGCCTTTGCAGTTGTACAACCTAGCAGCCTTGGTTTTTATCTTAGAGGAAGTCAATAACCAATATACCCCTCTAAAAGTGGTACACAAGTTTCTGGACTTACCAGCAGTTTAAGCAGCCAAAACCGGGATTTATAGTAGAAAGTTTTGGTGGGGTTGATAAGGAAGAAAACCATAAATCCATAAAGGGCAAGTGGATACACATATGTGGGGATGACACTAATTGGAGCAAAGAAGCATGCCAGAAGGCTCAGGCACCACAATATCCCAAGGAATCCAGCAATCTAGTAAAGGATGGGGAAGACAGAAAGATACAGAAAATCGTTATTTTTACTTTTATCATTACTTAAAATATCTTTAATAAAACAAAAGAAACACGATTTGTTATTAAGTCAACAATCCTCTTCAAGTAGAAGATGGATTTAAGTACCCACTAAACCAGATAGCTATATAGCGAATGCAAACTATATTCATGAGGTGTTATGTCTTGCTTTGATTACCTCAAAGAGATGTTGATGAGACAAATTGCTTCTTGGATTGAGTTCAAAGATGAGTACATGGTTTACTCCAGCCTGTCTCCAACCATACGTGTTGATGCCCAGTAGAAAAAGGAATTCAATCAGAAGAAAGCCACCCCGATATATTCTTATCAAGGGCCATATACTTCTATCTGTTTCAAGTTTAAATACAGCTGAAAGAATATTAATATATTGGTTAGTTATAAAATTCATAACATCCCATGAATTAAAAATCCTTTGTCTTCATTCTCAATGATATAGTCCTGGCATAGAAATTTTTCATAAATGAAACCTAAACCTATCTATCTATCTATCTATCTATCTATCTATCTATCTATCTATCTATCTATCTATCTATTTATTTTTTGAGACAGAGTCTTACTCTGTCACCAGGCTGGAGTGCAGTGGCGCGATCTCGGCTCACTGCAACCTCGACTCCCTGGTTCAGGCGAGTCTCCTGCCTCAGTCTCCCTAGTAGCAGGGATTACAGGCACGCGCCACCATGCCCAGGTAATTTTTGTATTTTTAGTAGAGACAGGATTTCACCACGTTGGCCAGGATGGTCTCGATCTCCTGATCTTGTGATTCACCCACCTCGGCCTCCCAAAGTGTTGGGATTACAGGCATGAACCACTGTACCTGGCCAAACCTAGATTATTTTAAGAGCCTTATAAAGTTGCCTGTGGGTTCTTTCTCGTCTTTGACTCCGCAGACTGTCACTAGAGTAATTTCCCTAAAATTTGACTTTCAGCATGTCATCCCACTGTTC